CCAGGGGCTGCAGAGGTGCTGTCAGCCGCAAGAGCCACAGGCAGTCAGCAGGAGATCACCGCCCCGCAACAGCACTGGTCTGAGCACACAGAAGGGCTTTTGCTGTCATTTGGGGTAGTGTCCCCAGCTCTAATCTGTGACCTTCCCTTTCCCCAGGAGCGCTGGACAATTAGACATTTCTTCTTGTTCTCAAGCCAAAAAGGACCAACTCTACATAAAAGCCCAGGAGGCCTTTGCTGGCCAGGTTGGCACCAAAGCATATTATTGCCTGATTCAGCCGTATTTAGGTAGGTGTTTCAGCTTCTGCCCTCCTTCCCCATGGTGCCTGAGGCATGGCTACTTCTTCCTCTACCGGAGGGTTTTAAACGAACTTGAGACACGTCTAAGAGTCACCAAAACCTGTCTCTGAGCTTTGGAAGTGTTACCACATCTGCCTGTGTCTAGGTGCCCTATGTGCTTTCTTTAAGGTGGAGCTCCAGCAAAGGACCTGAAAGACTTGGCTAAAACTGGTATTGCCATGGACATCAACACCTTTACTGCCCTAAATCCTGAGGAACTGCAGGTACGTTCCCTGGTGCACTGTTGCTGTTTTCCCTGCTGAAGAGAAGGGCTAGTCAACTGCTGAGCTGTGGGGTTCAAGGCTACTGCCCTGTCAGATCAACAAATCTCTGTTTTTCCTTCTTTTTGAAAGTAATTGCTCAAGCTGCAGTCCCACTAGAAAAGTACCTTTTGGTGATGCCAGCTGTGAGGATGAACAAAGATGTTGTTGTAAATGTATTGCAGAAACTCACTGTCATGGATGTGAAAAATTTGCTTGGGGTAAACCTCCCTGATCTGAAGCAAGCAGAAAATTACCCTTCTGTGATCAGCTGGATCAAGAGACAGGACCAGTGGGAGCTGGACCATACCCTGGGAATTGGCCTGCAAGGGGGGATGGTGAAGCCCAGCTCCACGGGGTCTGCCACCCCTGCTGGCATCATCCCCTCAGCCAGTATTGCCCCCATGACTGCTGTCCTCACCCCCACCATCCTCCCCACTGTCACCACCCCTGGCAGCATTAACAGTCACACCACTGCTAGTTCAAGTACTGGCACCCACAAGCCCCCCACCCCAAGCGCTATCAGCCTGACCGTATCTAACAGCACTCCTCTACACACTCACATGACCCTCCCCAGTGCTGGCGGGAGTCCCGCTGTCACCTCCAGACTCACAGCTCGACCTGCTCTGACCCCCAGCTCCACCAACCCATGCTCTATCCACCAGTCTGCCACCTCAAAGAAGGCCATCTCCACAACTACCGCCCTCCTCGCCACCATCCTTACTGCTGTCAACCCCAGCGCTACCTCTCCCAGCTCCCCCCCATCCTCTGCTCTCACACACAATGCCACTACTACTTCCAGTGCTGTTATTAACCTGGCTGTTACCACCCATAAAACCAGCACCCCAACAGGGTCCATTAACTCTCCAGTCCCTGGGGCTACTGCCAGCCCAGCTGCTACTACTCACAATACCATTCTGAGCACCCGAAATGCTCTTAGTGCCCTTGCCCCTAACACCACCTCTGCACCCACTGTCACCACAGAAACAAACATCATTCCCCACAAGCCCACCCCGATTCCCAGAACCTCCATCTCCACCCAAAAGAGTGTCATCTCCTCAACTGTCAAGACGACAACATTCATTTGCAGGAGCGGTGCTCCTGCAGCGTTTCTCATCCCCTCTTCCACAACGACCAGCAGTGAGACCACTAGGAAAACACCTACAGACGTGCCAGAGCCACAGAATCCAACACCCGTCGGATACATCAATCTGCATCCTGAGGCTGGTAAGGTGTGAATGTGACGAATCGGGAAAGCCTTAGGAACCAATCCCAAGGCAAAAGTCTTTATTGAAAAGCAGTAGCTGATTCACCCTTTCCTAGCCAGATTCAGTACTGATGCGCTGCTGTCCGTAAGAAACTCCATACAGCTACTGACAAGTCAGGTAGTAACATCTCTACAGGCCATTTTAGCACTACATGATCTAGAGTGCACTGCCTTCAGACACGGTAGTGCGCTCTGCAAAGGCAACAAGGTGCACCTTCACATGTCTTAACCAGTTCTGAACATATGACTTCCCCTCATCCACTATGGGGAGAAGCTGGTATAATTCTGTTATTGCCGATGGTACTGTGCCGTCTTTCACAAGGTGAGGATATGGCCTTCCATATTTTAGCTGCATACAGTGTTTTTGAATAGGTGTCATTATAAAAGCCCTAAAATCTGAAGTCCTCTATCTCGGTAGAGCTACACCAGTAGCTTTAATGAATTATTACGCTGCTTTATGCTAGCGTGATTAAGAGATGACTCAGTGCTCCTGACTATTCATTTCTGGTTCATATTTATAAGCGGGGTGCAGGTCAGTGTCTAAAGGTGCAGGGTATGGGCAATGTCACAAAAGACAGAAACCAGTCGACCTTCTAGATGTGCAATCCTCTGGGGTTCCCAAATCCCAAAGTAACTCTATGACTGTAACAGCCCCTCATGAGCCCACATCTAGCTGTGCTGTTTACCTGGATAATCCAATTCATTCTCATCTCTGTTCTCCATCTAGGCTCAGGATCCAGGCTCTCCTTTTGTTTACTGCATGTACTCACTGCAGCCATGGGAATCTCACTGTTTCAAGGACTTCTTTGACAACACCATCTCCAGGCTCACACTCACTGGATCCCTCCTTTAATTTTCGCCATCCTCCAAAATATTGGTGCTGGCAAATTCCCTGCTGAAAGGCAGAAAGCTAGGAGAGGAATGAAGTTTGTCAATTTTAGACCAACAGGGAATTTGTTTATTATTTAAGCTAGGATGTGAAGAAAGGACAGGTATTTTTCCAGGCCAAAAAAGCCCAACTAAAAATAAAGCAATATGATTACAGGTTCTAGGTTCCTGTTACAATAATTAAGACCTTTTCATCACTCAGGAGTCTTTTACCTGGTGGAGAGCAATCCTACCATAAGTACTGCAGGATCTTATTCACATTAAATCCCCGAGTCTATTTTGTAATTCAGGATGAGATCCAAGAAAAAAAAAAAAGTGTTTACTAGCTAGCTGTTCTATATAATACAATTATCAGTAACACTGATTGGTCTGGCACCGCATTAATGCTGACAGCAGACCCAGTTGTGCTAGCTTTACTCAGATTGAGCGGTATTGTACTTCCTAAGCAATCCCACTGGGATCTGTTGAAACCAGTGGGACTATTCAGGGACCTAAGTTACTGGCCATTGCAAGAGAAGCAGAATATGGCCCAGCAACAGAATGTGAAAGCTCGATCAGAAATCCACTGAATTGCATTTAACTTGCTTTATGAACTTACGAGACTTTGGATCAGGATTTGTTCACACTATGCCAAGCCTAGTTAGAGGGAAGACTAATTGAAGACAGTGCATACTGATTACTGTTGCAGTGCTATATAATAAAAACATCAATCAAAGTTTTTTTTCCTTTTTCTTAATCACAGATGTTTTTTGATGTGTTTAGTGCTTTGTATTGTCGTTTTTTTCTGGTTAAGTTAAATTTAAATAGTTTCCACTTCTGAGTTTCTTTAATTATCTAGGATCTCCTTTTCTAGTAGCTCTCCTACAAGCGTTTCTCCCTCCTGCTTGCAGATCCCCCACTTTCCTGGTTTCATGCTTCATGGGCTGAGCAGATTCTTTATGCCACTTGTTGAGAGAGAGTCAAGGAACAAAGAAACAAATCAAGATCTCCATCAGGGGAACCAAACGTTGGGAAATATTGCTAAAAATGCAGACTGCCTTACTTATATTGGGCTATCTCCCACCCTAGCTACTGCCCCAGCACTGCAGTATTGACTTCTAACTAGTCAGGCCCTGCAGCCATCAGCGTTTCTTTGACTGCTGGAGTTAAATTTCCTTCCATCAGAGAAGTTTGGATACAGGCTGTGGGGAACTGTCACCAGCCACCCAGAAGTCAGCGATGAAGGACAGACCAATCTCTGCTCTTTCTGAAAACCATGGCTTAAATGAACATTTATAATGTCTTTGCAGGCAAGCTCTCCTCTCAGGGAAAAAAGGGGATTTCAGAGGCTGGATTCTGACAAAGTAGTTTGCACTAAAGCTTTTTTGAACAGGGTTTCCTAATGAGCAGAAAAATTCTGCTGAAAATATTACACAGAGTCCTTATACCTTCCCCATAAAGATGCTGAAAACAGCTTCAGCCCTTAGGCTTAAACAGTCAGCTCCAAAGAAAAGTAACAGGCAGGTCTGAGGTTCCTGACCATTTAATTTTGTCCAGTACTTGCAGACACTAAGCAATGGGCTATGTGAGCGAAGAGAAGACAACAGCCACTCATCGTTTTGCTTCTTTTTTTTTTTTTTTTTTTTTGTTCAACCAGCTGGAAAACTTCACTCCCACTGGCAGGGTAGAGATCAGACTCTTTGAGAAATGCAATCATTAACATACTGAAGAGCCAATTTGTTCACCCTTAAACCCACCACAGTTATGCAGTAAAATATTGACATGGGTTGTGTTGCAGTAATGTAGCCGGGCCTTACGTAGGCTAGGCTCTGTACAAAAGGCAAAAAAGAAAATTTCTGCTCTGAAGAGTCTGAAATCTTCCCTTCAGACAAAATATCCTGACTTTTTTCTAGTGATTTCAAAAAGAAAAGTACCTAAAAAATGAACGCTGGGCTCCATAATAGTTGCCTGCTAGCACTGAGCATCCTCCCCCACCCTCCAACCATGGCGGTCCACTGACAGGCCTCAGAGCAGGTCACAGGCTGGTCCTCCTCATCTTGCTTTCTCCTGAGCGAAGATTTTCAAGACAAGACCAAAACCATCAGGAAACTGAGAAGGAGAGCAGGCAGGTGGAAGACCATGGCCACGGCACCCAGGGGAGCTGAGGATGGTGCTAGAGGAAAAAGAGGGGGCATCAGCGCAAAGAACCCAGCAATTGAACCATTCCCCCATGGAGGAGACTATCCCATCGCTCCACATTCAGGGAAGATCTTTGGCTTTCTGACCACAAAATATCCATCCCTAATAGGATCTCCCAGTCACATCCCAAATCCGACACACGTGGTAGCAGTATGCTGTGGAAATGCTCACTCAGCTGAGATGTTCAGATAGCGAGGATGTTCCCAGTGGGATTACAGAATTGCCTCTTTTCTTGGACCCAGAGTGTGCTGCAAGGCTCAAGGTTCCTCAGCAGAACTGAATCTGCCGCCCCTTGAAGCCAGGAGGTGAAGGGAGGCACAAAGCGCTACTCAGTGCATTTCAGTGGGGCTGGGTGGATGTGCAGTGATGAGTGCCACTCGAGGGGTCTGCAGCAGTCAAGAGCCACAGTTTCTGCTCCCTCTGAAAAAGGAGTGGCCAGCAGGACTTTTCAGGGTCTTGGCACAAGCATGGCCAAGAGCAGGACTAGAGCTTTATGGCAGAGCTGCTCAATGCAACCGCCTGCTTGAGCACGGGTGTGACTGACTCTGGTTCCCAGGGGGCTATGTCAGCTGGGTGCATTCAGTTCCCTTATACAGATGACTGAAAACACCTCACTTCCCTAAGGTAGTTTTTCTCCTTGCTGTGACCCCCAAAATACATATTTAAAGCATGACAATCAGAAAACCTCATATACTACGTACTCTGAAACTTGGGTGTGACAAAATTGATATAACCTTCCTGTGTTCCCCCAAAGAGCCCAACACCCAGTTTATCCAGGTCGGACTGTTTCTGCTTTTGGACCCACTCCCGGATAGGTGACTTGTTCTGTACAGTCGTCAGGGCTTTGAGATTCATTCCCAGCAAGCTCTTTACCTCAGTAGGCGTCAGGCTCTACAAAAAAATTAAAAAGCAAAACTTAGAAACATAAGTGCAGGAATGGAAATAATACCTGTGACCAAGGACTTAGCGAAGTTTCTATGAACAGAAGTGTTAAGAACAGGAAAGATAAACTTCTTCTGAGTGGTTTCAGTTGGGACAGTCTTGCCTTAGGCTACAGGAAGGAACATGATTCCTCAAGTTTATTTCTGTTGTCCTGATGACAAGGCCATGCTAGAGGACACTGGGTCAAAGCTAGAATCATAGCTGCTGCTCCATAATACTGCATCTCCTGTTTCCCAAGAGACTGCATTGCCCAAATTCAGCTCAGTGCATCGTTCTTCCCCTCTCTTACATCCTCACCCAAGACCCCTCTCCTTCACCTGAGTGGGGGCCACAGTCCCTGTCCTGATCATGGGGCTTTCTTCCAAAACAGACAGTATTAGAAGAGCAGCATATCCCTGACTGTCAACAGTCCCATCACTAAGTTAGGAGATTTGGTACACAGCTTTGGACTGGGGCAAGGCAGAGGATTATCACATTCCGCAGTGGAATCCTGCTTCCTGCTACTATGTCTATGAGAGCCTGGTCTTGGGAAATTCCCCAGTAAAGCTGGGCAAGCATCCTTGTATGACTCCAAACCGATCTTCTGAAGAAGCTTCAAGTTGGTCCTCCTCTTTCTACTGTTGCAACATCATTCTGAATTTGCGGATTTACACCAATGGACAGCGTGACCAGAAATGACTAGCTAGCACGATGCAAATGCATGGAACGAAACACTCTCATGGTCCAGCTCACCAGCAAAGAGTCTCTTCTTAACTTCATGAAAGTTTCAATATCCATGTTCACGTGGTCCTTGCTTAGAGCTCCAAGATCCACACCAGGAGCGCCCCCTAGGATCAAAAGGAGAAAGTATATTAAGATATGAAGGACAGTCCTCAAATGAGGATTGCTGGGTATTTGTATAGGCTAGAGCTAAAATATGCTTTCATGATGTCTCCAAAGTTTATTAGCCTAGGGTTCCTAACAGAGTGGGTTCTAATTGGAAAAAACTATGGAGGCTATAGTTCATTTTGCTGGGAAACCTTATCATGTTGGCCATTAAACCAACCTGCATCAATGCCAGACACTAGAATGAGTATCTCCCACCCATCTACTCTGTTGGTCAACATGGAAAATCTTTGTTTTGTGACATGGGGAAGGACTATGAGGTAAGCATAAAAAACACACTATAAAGAGAACACTCTTGCATTAGCAGCTGGATTTACTAGGGTATCTTACAGATCTTACCCACCCCAAAAGTCCTAAGTTTGATTTTTCCTGTGATAGCTTGACAATCTATTTTGGGGGTTTTAAGAATCTTTCAAGAATATTTTATGTGCCTGTAAGCTGGAAAAAATTCAAACCCTCCTGAACTTTCAACAGTTTGGCTTTGAAGATTCCCAAAGCTTACAAGGCATAGGATCCCAATTCATCTTCTGGCTAAGACCCATCTCTTTCC